AAGAATATTGAGAGCTGCAAAGAAAAAAGGCCAAGTAGCATATAAAGGTAAATCTATCAGAATTACACCTGACTTCTCAATGAAAATTATGAAAGCCAGAAGGTCCTGGATAGATGTGCTTCAAACACTAAAGAGACCATGAAAGCAAGCCCAGACTACTATACCCAGCAAAGCTTTCAATTACCATTGATGGAGAAAACAAGATATTCACTGACCAAAACAGATTTAAACAATACGTATCCACAAACTCAGCCTTACAGAAAATACTAGAAGGAAAACCTCAACCCAAGGAAGCTAACTACATATAACACAGACATCTGATAACACCCTACCAGCATAATCCAAAGAAGGGAAACACACAAACACTGCTACCAAAAAATAACGGGAGTTAACAACTGCTGGTCATTAATATTGCTTAATATCAATGGATACAATTCACCTGTAAAAAGACACAGGCTAAGAGAATGGATATGCAAACAGGATCCAGCATTCTGCTGTTTACAAGAAACACACCTCAACCTCAAAGGCAGACACTACCTCAGAGTAAAGGGTTGGGAAAGCTTTTCCAATCAAATGGACCTAAGAAACAAGCGGGTGTGGCTATCCTAATATCTAACAAAATTGATTTCAAATTAAAATCAATCAGAAAAGATGGAGAAGGACACTTGATACTCATAACAGGAACAATTCATCAAGATGAAGTCTCAATCCTGAATATCTATGCCCCTAATACAAGAGCACCCACATGTGTAAAAGAAATATTACTAAAACTCAAATCGCACATCAAATCCCAACATCTGACTTCTGAGTCTTTATTGGTAAATAGAACCACCTAGGTAAAATCAACAGTGGGGGGTGCATCCCCAGACCTCAAGGTGTGCGATTCACAAGACATTGTAGGAACATGTGTAGGGAATGGAGATCATGCTTCCCCTAACTTTATGAGCCAGGGAGCTCAAAGAGTGTGGCGCATATGAAACAGTTGTGGGTGGATTTTGTCTTCTCACTTGCTCAGTTGAGCATGTGCACAGCGGCAGTGGTGTGGGGTGGAAGGAGAGGAAATGTCTTTCTTCCAGCTTCCCCAGCTGGGGTAAGCACTGGGTGGAAGAAACTGGTTGGGGCCAGAGGCCCTGAAATCTCTAACATGCACGTCCAGGTTGAGTATGCTGAGAGGCAGAAATGCAGAGAAGACAATAGGGTTGGTAAATTCTGATCTCTCCAGTCAGGGCAAGCTCAGAGTGAGAGAAGTGTTATAGGAGGTGGAAAGTCCATGGTCTTTTAGCCTGTTTGCCTGGGGTAGGTGGAGGGCAATAAAACTGTGCAGAGGAAGAACAGAGAACTCTGACCTGACCAGCTGGGGTGAACAGAGGTCAGCAGAATCAGCACCAGGGTTGTCTAACTTCTCCAGGTGGGATGCTCACAGGGAAAAAGTGTGCTTGGGAGCTGGTGGGTCTGGAGATCTCTAACCTATCCAGGCCAGGTGCTTTGTAGGGCAGCATGATTTGTTTATTTCCAGAACTTCTAATCTAGCAGAGAAATTGGAAACATAAATTTTGACACTGAGTCATTGGAATTCACAATGAGAAGGACCAATACCTTTTTTGAGTTTTGGATCTCAGGGTCCAACTGTTCTAACTATCGGGGAGTACAAACTATTGGTTCTGTAACTATCTCAGACAATGACATCTCCCTCCTGCTGGGTCTTTGGTCCTGGTGAAGAAGTGATGCTGGTCTCATAATGCTATACAAGACCAATGACCTCCAGGTGGTCATACATGGCAAAGCCAGTGCATCCCTTAGTCATATGTCCCATCATGCCATTTTCTTGCCATGAGTGTTTTCTGCAGTCAGTGGCAATCTGTCAGGAACTGTGTTTGTAAGGCTGGAGTGCAGGCAGAGAACATGAATAGAGGATATTCATCTCAAGAGTGGTATCAATTACTTTAAGGCAAACTATTGATCTTTACAGGAAGTCCATTCTTTGAAACTCCAGTCCTGAGAAATTACACCCACTTCAAAGGGTTAAAAACCTCCCTAATGAGCTCTGGAATTGCATTCTTCTTTTCGTTGGTCCCTTTGTTATCTACCTCTGCTGCCTACACAGTTCTGTCCCAAACTATTGGTTGAGAAAAAAAAAAGTAAGAATATGTCACAAATGCTCTCCAAATCAGATTTCCACAACACTGGCAGATGCCAAACCGGTTGTCTCTCTCACCCTACTTCACATCTACATCTTCTCAGACACATAGCTCTTACCTCCTCTCCAGATCCAATTAGCATGTCAAGACTAGAGAGGAAGGTAGTCTGCAACCCTTTAAGTCACTCACAATTCCTGCAGGATTGAGTCATGGCTGGAAGCAGGACAGTTTTTACAAGCCTAGAGACAGTCGGTGCATGGTACTCCAGTCATTTTCATGAAGAGCCAACTGATCTTGTTCTACTTTACTGATGAGGCATCTGCCAGCTCAATAACTACATAAAAATTTGCATTCTAGTAAAACCTCACGTTTTCCATAGCGGCTGTTCGTGGAGGTATTGCTTGGAGAAGTTTACTAGAGCCCACCAAATGCACATCATAGCTTTAAGAAAACAGTACATGTCAACATCCCTATATTTTTAAAGTCTTTGTTGGCAACGCCACCTCTGAAATTCCTAAGTAAAATTATCCACTGATTTCAGAGCCTCGCCATGAAGGAGAGAACACCTTCTGTACATTTTTCAAGTCTGGCTAGTAACAAAATCTCTGATTCCCTGTAGGTGAAATTAGTATCTGATTTCCTACCTTGGATCCTAAGAAGTAGATGATTTCAAGAGTTCCCACCTGCCCCTTTTTATCATCATCAATCAGCCAAGGTCAGAGATTCTGTTGTTAAACAGGTGGACATCACTCTTGCCCTGAAGGATTCCACAGACCTCACAGACATCCTGTGAGACAAGACTATGACCAGAATGCCTGTCGCCACTTGGCCCCCCCACTTTGAGTCTTCAACATCAGTGTCAACTCATCTAGATCAAATGGCCTTTCATGACTTGTAACTTGCTTTCCACAGAGTAAGTCCCTGTGCAAATAACTCCAAGTGCCTTGAGAGTTGAACACACACAGACGTATTGGCATTACAAGTGTTCTTCATCAAGAGTCAAGGGACCTGCTTCTCCCTCGAGGGAAGAGTTTGAGCATGAGGTGATTTTGGAGGGAAGTAGTTCCTTGGCTCTTCTGTTTGTTTTGTGGTTAATCGAAGCACGCAACATGCTGAGCCTGCACAGCTGTCTTCACATTAAGGACATGCATTTTTCATGAGTCCACAGGCAGTGGTAACAGGGTTTCTGCTCTAGTTCTGTGGTTGCTCATAACTGCGTTCACCTTGCTCCTATTGGTGAACAGGCTGCTGTCACCTGCAGGCCTATCACTAGCATCACCACTAACGCCACGGTGACATCTGGCAATGCTTGCTTTTCATTCCCAGTGGACAGATCTGAGGGTGGTGTGCCGTGCAAAGGGAACAGGAAAGGCGAAGCATGAGGCAGGCTGTGCTTGACAGGGGCTAGACGAACTCTGAGATGGTTTCTGGATATGACCCGTCAAGAGCAAGTTGTAAGCCACGGGAAGCGTGTTGGGTTTCAGTGAGATGGTTTAAGTCATTAAAGGGTTGTGAGTGCAACCGCATAGGATTCTAAAAGGCTGACTCCCACTGCTGAGCAGAACTGGGCTGTAAAGAAATAGAAAGGAAGTGGAGAATACTGTTAGGTTACTATGATTGCCCAGGCAAAGTGGGTGAACCTTGACATCTCTTGTATTCTAGGTTTATGTTACTATTTACCTTTTCCCCTGTGCCCTATAACTCCTCCAGGATGAGGACTTCTACTTATAAATTATGCATCTAACTTACTCATATGCCCATTCAACAGGTGCTTGATAAACATGTTGCTTCAGTAGCTACCAGCAATAGCGACTTACTACTACAATTTGCTATTGTTGAGGGTCAGAATGACATCACTGCATGGGCTTTGTAACTCTCTTTAGGAATTTTTTTTTTTTAAAGTTTCAACATTCATGTAACCCTGGCCTAACAAGAATGGCATTTAAAAAATATCTAACTGGACCTCCCCTCTTCCCACCACCACCACCACCACCACAATCAAGGCACAAATGCTTCTCTCTGCACAATTCTGGTGAAATTTCAAAACTTACTCATAACTGGGGTATAACGTTTCGATTGACACTCTTCACACGTTTTCCCTATGCACAGCAGGTAATCATAATAACCCTTGTCACCGAACCCATCTGGGTGTTTTCTTTGTATCTCAGTAACTGTAGGTGTAGTGAGGGGTAATTGATGATAACTGTCAGACCCCAACGTAGGGATTTACGTAGCAGGCAGTGAGTGGCCTCTTCAATACAATCCTGCTAACATTTCTGGCCAATTACAAACCATGGGCACTGAAAGATAATGAGACGCTGGGTTCCCTAAGCGTTTCTTCTCTTCATCTTGGTCAGAGAGCAGGAATGGGTCCCGAGACTGGAACAGGGTAGTCGTTGAGAAGCGACCTCATTTCTTTGGATCAAAGGACGCGGGCTGGGGAGAGGGAACAGGCTGTTTCCGGTTCGAACATTCTGAATATGACCTCCTTGACACGCATCATCAGCTCACCGCCTCGGATGTGAAGTCAACTGCCTCGCGGACGGACGAGCTGGGCAGAAGCAAGAGCTTGGCCCAGCCTCAGAGAAACGAGCGTGCGCGCAGGGTAGCGGCCAAGAGGGCGGGCAAAGGGGGCGGGGCCGCGCCCCTACGCATGCGCACAAAGACGCCTAGGCGGAAGTGGTGCGCGGGGGTCTGGCGGTGTGAAGACCTTCCGGGAAGGTGGCGGCCGCGGTGGCCAGCCCGGGAGCAGGATCGGAGGCGGAGGAGGAGGTGACAGCGGCGGAGCTGGGAGGGGATCTCGCCAGGTGCCGTCAGGCAGGACTGGGGTGGGCGTCCACGCCGTGTCGGCTGAGAAAGTGGACGCTACCGTCGGGGTGGCCCGGGCGCGCGCGGACCTGTTGGGGATAGCGGGGGCGAGCGCTTCCGGAAAGAGCATCCTCCGGTCCTGGCGTTAGACCGCCGCCCCGGCTCCCCTAGCCTGCCGTCTGGGTTTGGACCGTCTCCCGGATTCCCTAGACCGTTTTTTGCTGCTCAGAGCTACTTCCGGGTCTGTGTCCGGTCCTCCGGTACCCCGCGCCTGTTTGTCTTGCCACGAAGAAACTGTTCTTGCAGAGCTATTAAGTTTATGTCGCTGAAAGCCCTGTGTGTTCTTTCCGGCTTTGCAGCTGACTTCTCTTCTTGAAAAGAAAAGAAAAAAAAACACAGAAAATTTTTGTTGGTATGCTAACAAGACTTGTTTGGGTTTTTTTTTCTATATTTTTAAAAAGTATGTCTGCATTTCTTCTACGGTAGATTATCAGAATCGACTTAGTTAATGTTTTTCTTATAAGTGAGTTGCCATAGTTTGAAACTTGGGGGAAAAAAGACACTGCTAGCACTTGGAAATATTTTAGATAGCATTACTTGTGCGCAGTGTATAGACTAAATCCTGATTTTAGTCCCTGACGGGGAAAGAGTTTCAGAAATCACCATTCTCTCACACTTCGTGTGATGAGGTATAGATGAAATCAGTCTTGTTTTCTCCTTTATGATCTTATTCCACAAACTGTCATTCGTGCAGAGCGCACCCGAGGCATGAAGACAGGGCATGTCACCCGAGAGTGACAAGTTCCAGGCCTTGTACAGCATAGGTTTCCTTCGCATGCCACCTTTCTGTAATAGAAAACGTTTCTGTTTACTTCTTTCTATAACGTTTCTATTTCTTTCATGTTAGAAAAAGAACTAAGCCGAGGCCAGCGAGATGGCTCAACACATAAGTGCACTTGCCACCAAGCCTGGTCCCCAGAACCCACAAAGTGAATGGAGATAATCGGTTTCCCCCAAGTTGCCCTCTGACCCCATCTGTGATCTGTGGCGTATACGCACAGATTTTTTTTTAAAGAAATAATCTCAGATAATTTTTATTTTAGTATGTCTTTATTAGTCAACATCACCTATTTCTGATGGTTTTTTTTTTTTTAGAACTGAAAACCCTTTCTTTAATTCCATTTTCGCTGTTATTTCTACCTTCATGTGCTAAAGTTAAGTGTTTGTTGGGTTTAAGAGACTTAAAGCAGAAATCCATTTTAATGATTTCTTCCTGTTTTAGTGTCAGAGGTTATTTCAAATTTCTTAAGCAAAACAAGGTATTAATTGTTTGATTACTTTTAATCCTTTTTTTTTGAGACAGGCTGATGTCAGATTCCTTATGTAGTTTAGTCTTTTCCCCTGCAACATAAGGACTTTGTCCCATGTTCTTTTTAGGTTTATTTGTGTGTGTGTGTGTGTATGCATGCATGTGTGCATGTATGCATGAATGGGTATATATATGCAGGAGAGGGGTCTCACTCCCTCCTGGAGGAAGAGTTAAAGGCAATTGCAAGCCTCCTAACATGGGTTCTGGGAACCCTCTGTAGGAACAATAAACATTCTTAACCACGGAGCCACTTCTCCAGCCCTAGCTCTGTGGCTCTGATTCTTTAGATAACAATATCAGCTATTAATATAGGAACAAGTGAGGTACAGATACCAGGGATCACAGTTTGAGGGTGACGGCAGTCTTTGTCAGTCATGTAAAACTGCACACTGAATGCCAGGCTTTGAAAGGGCAGGTTTTGTGGCAGTGAGGCATCACTTAAGTAATTACTGTGAATCCATTTCATTGTTCATCACAAGTGCGTCCTGGGAAGTTCGGGAGAGATGAGTAGTGTGTTGTGCACAGTTAAAAGAAAAAAGTATTGTTGAAGGTGCTGAAGGTTACCTGCACGTGCATTCTAGAGCTGGAGCTCGTCAGGCTGCAGGGGAGTGAGTGTGAATGATAGCGTGGTGGAAGAGAATGGAATAAAGTAATACTGGTCACATGTTTACAAGAACACGAGAGCCCTTCAGCTCAGCGGCTTGGGTTTTTGCAGTGTGCTCTGGTATCATATAATAGGTAGGCAATGGAAGAGACTATTGTAGAGCAGAATAGGTGGGAAATCCAGGTCCCTGCTTCCTCCTTCCTGCTGCCTGGCAGGTGAGTCAGCTTCAGCACACCAGGCCGCTTCAGCAATGTTTCTGAAAAGCTGGACAGTGAAAACTAACGTGCATGGGCTGTCACACTGTGCGCAGTGCACTTGGACAGTTATCTCATAGATTCTGCAGAATGTCTTTACTCAGCAGTTTACTTTTCCCCGTAGAGGTGGAGAGCCTGAAGCTCAGAGAGACTGCTTTGCCCTAGTCTCCTCAGGTAGCATCAGAGTTCAGACCCCCAAGTTCCAAACCATGGGACTGCTTTCTTGTTCTGTTGACTATAGTTAAATTGGTGCTGTGTGCTTGGCATTTAACTATAAGCATTTCAGAAGAGGGCAATGTTGGGAAAGAGTTGCCTTCTGGAGACATATTCTGCTGTCAGTACGAGGAGGAAATTGATTTTGTAAGACTCGTTCTGTGTGTGTGTTTGTGTGCCTAAGTATAACATCATCATCTGCACTCTCCTTCTGGTTCTGTCTGCTGTAGACTTCAGTTTTGCTGAGCAAGTTTGCCAACACCATGGTCCTTTCAGAAGTGTATCCAAGTGAGATAGATGTGAGCTGGAGTTCGAGGCATGTCTACTAGGCATATAGATAAAAAAAAAAAAAATCCATGCCAGATACCAAGACACAAAGTTGTCACAAAGACGGGGGCCACCAACCCTGAGCCTAAATACGACCTAAAGAAAAAGCCTCAAGCAGAAAGGACACCATAAGCATTTGGAAGTATTCTGCTCTCGGGAATGGCTGAATGGTTGGGCCTTTTATTGAAAGAAATCAGGGAAGAGAGCTCAGAACCTTTGTTTATTTAAAGGTGGCCTGTGCGCTGTTGCTGTGCCTGCCATAGAATATAGGCCTGAACATTGTTTCCTCAGCACTGAAACACGGCACAGTTGGAGAAGGACAATTTAAAACATGCTTATTATGAAAACTGTGTATCAAGGATGTTCTGCAACATGGCATAAAAAAATCTAACGGAGATGATTGCAACACAGCAAGGAAAGCCAGAATAAGGAAGAAAAGCATGAGGAGAAAAGAGCACAGACAATAAAAGCTTATAAAAGTGTAGCCATAAGGGGCAGGTGTCCCGCAGAATAAATGTGTTGGTGCCTACATATCGATAGTCGTGATTGTGTGCAGTGCCTTGCCCCTTGGTGTGACTAACCAGTTCTCTTTTTAGGGTACAGCTCAGCTAGCTAGACGCAGTCACCGAGAGTGGACTCTTGTTCTTGTCATTTCCAATGATCGCACGACAGTTTCTTTCATGGTAATTTTTAAGTGAAGCCCCTGTCAAAATTGTCCTCTCCTGCCCTGGAGTCCGGATTTTCTCTTGCTGGAGCACCAGCTGTGAGGCTGCACAGGAAGACAGTCTTTCCATCCTGTGCTGCCATGATTTCCGCACTTCCCTTACTACTTACATGGAGGTCATTATTTTTGCCTTTTGTAAGTGCAAAGAGAAACCTAGCAGTCGTCAGTGGTGCTTTCACATTTTTTTCACTGCCAACACACACACACACAGACCCCACATTTTTCTGCCGTTAAATTTGGATCATTTTCTCCACAGGGAAAGGAAGTCTTCTCAGTCATGGTTGGTAGCCCACGCTTTGTAACCATAGTGTTTAAGCCACTAAGACTTCTCCCGTCCTAGCCAGCCTGGGCTACAGACAGGTTTTTCTTTCAGTTTGAGGAATGCTGTTGCTAACCTGTTTGGCTTTAGTTTCAGAGCTTACCTAGCAAATGGATTGCATGGTTGTCAACCCTTAAGCGTCACTTTTTCTTTATTCTACTACAATATTGTCTATAATTTGAAAATATATTTTTATTTCATTAGAATTCGATATGTACTAGATGATAAAATCATACTACCATATGTAGTCCTAGTTTTGCTTGCTATGGAGATGAATATGATGCTACCCGGTGATGGATAGGGTTGGGGAGTGCGGGTCTTGTACTTGCTTGTTTGGGGTGTGGGAAGTTAACACTGATACTCAGAGAGACTCAGCTGTGTCTGTAAATCGTATAGTGTACATGTTAGATTATTTGAGTCTGATACAGCTTCATTGGTTGTGTGATTTACCATAACTGCTTATTCCCTCTTCTAGGTCCAGCCAGCAAAGGAAAGACAGGACCTAGCATTGGAAACCAGCAAAGACAAGGTCACAGACCTTGAATGTGGCAAAGCAAGAACAATGGACCTCAAGTTCAACAACTCTAGGAAGTATGTCTCCATCACGGTGCCCTCCAAAACCCAGACAATGTCACCACACATCAAGTCAGTAGATGACATTGTGGTGCTGGGCATGAACCTCAGCAAGTTTAACAAGCTCACACAGTTTTTCATATGTGTGGCTGGAGTTTTTGTATTTTACCTAATTTATGGATACTTACAGGTAAAAAGTAGTCCTTTGTTTATAATAGTGTTAGTTATTTTAGCACTTAATGTCCATGTTGGTTTTAACTATTTGTTTTTACCATGATATTTTTATTTACAGGCTACCAGTTTTCTCAGAGCTTGAGATTTTTATAGAACAATAGCCTCTTAAAAGGACTACTAAAAGTAAAGAGCAAACTCTCCAAGGCTAACTTTAAGATGTAGCAGAACAGGGAGGCAGGGTTAACTAGTCTTGGTAGAAGCAGTCTCTGTAGTGAAGCATCCCCCATTACTCACACAGGATGGAAAGTTCAGATCATTCTATTAAAAGTAAACTAGTTAACATTTGTAAATACTCTTGTTGACTTGTTAAAATGGCTGAGTAGTCATTAATGAACCTGTTACTTCACAATATAATATTGTATGAAGGAGCTCGGAATCTAGCTCTTTGATAGTGTTTGCCTAGCAGCCACTAAGACCTGGGCTCATTTCTCAACGTAAACAGGACGACACATGGTGACCCATGCTTAGAAGCTTAGTGTTGTGGACACAGAAACAGGAAGCGCAGAAGTTCAGTGCCACTGTAGGCTGAGTAGGATTGGCCTGGATTGCATGAGACACTGTCTCAAAACAGAAGGGAGGGAGGGAAAGAGGGAGGCAGAAAAGAAAGAGAGAGAAACAGAAATGCACACTGTGTAGAGAAATTAAACTTCTATACAAGGAAGGTTTCCATCTAATCTGTGACACATAATTTTGAAAATGCTGTAATATGACCCATATTCCTGATGAAAACCAGCTTGTAGATGCCTGGCTTTTACTGAAGTAAGCTGTTTGTGTGAATTCTGGAATTAGCCACCCACTTTGTTAAGGACAACTTTAGTTTTGGTCTTTTTTATGTCTTTAATGAAGAAGCATAAGAAGACATTGCATTTTAGTTACTTCTCTGTGATTTTCATGCCTAAGTCATATAAAGTCTAGTGACTTGGTGGGAGTAGGTGGAATTGGATGGAGTATGGCTTGCTTGCTTTTAAAATATACTCATAACAGTTGACTGAAAGTTGGTCTCTGCCTTGAATTTAACGACATTCATTGTCTTCTTACAGGAGTTGATATTTTCAATGGAAGGCTTTAAGCCCTATGGCTGGTACCTTACTTTAGTACAGTTTGCATTTTACTCCATATTTGGCCTCATAGAACTTCAGCTCATTCAGGACAAAAGGAGAAGGTATGTGCTGCGCTTACCTGCATCGGTTGAATCTGAAAGAAAACAAAACAAGGCCAGCATGCCAACTGTGTATGATTCTACATTTCCTGCTAACATCTGATCATGAGTTTTAATCAATATAAACTACTTGCGTAAAATAATACATCTATTCCTTTATGCACTGGAACAAAGTAGATTCCCCCTCTTTTAAGTACAGTGTCACAAAATCAAGCCGAACATGGGTCAGTTCATGGTTAGACACACTCCCTCAGAGAGGTCAGACGTACATTTTCATGACCTGACCAAGGAAGACATGCCTAGTGAAAGATTTAAAATGCACCTCCATCACAGTGGTAAGCAAAAGGCCAGTGTCAAGTGTCTAATAGTTTTGAAAGTGTTAGTGTTTTGTGGGCTCTATCCCCTGACATTGTCACTGAGTGTCTAGTGGTTGAAATCTGCGGTCTTTTTTAATGAGCTAATAGTAAGGGTTTCATTATGGCATTCTCATGTACATGTGTCATCGTAGGATGTTCTAGTTCATCTCCTCCCACACCGTGCCCCACGTCACACCTGCCCCACTCTTGCTGCTTTCTTCCCTTACCTGCTCTCTTGTCACAGGTGTTTGATTGCCCTGTCCATCTCCTCCCCTCTCTTCTCTGTTGTCCCCTTTCTAATTTCAAGTATGAAGCTCCATTCTGTAGACACACCTTGTTTTCTTCAGCTGTTCCTAGGTTGTTAGATGTCTGGGCTAGCTATTGAGAATAGTAGAGCAGTAGACGTGGCTGTACCAGTACTTCTGCGGCATGCCATCCTTCAGTGGATGAGGAGAGCCATAACTGGGCCATAACTGTTTTCCATAGTGGTGGTGCCAGTTTTTATTCCCATCAGCAGCGTATAAGCATTCCTCTTTCTCCTCCTCCCCTCCAAATTGCCATGTGTTTTCTTTATGATAACTGGATTGAAGTGGAATCTCAAAGCAGGTTGAATTTGCGTTCCCTTAATGGCTAAGGATGCTGCCCATGTTTCCAAATATCTCCTGACCATTCCCATTTACTCTTGAGAAGTCTGTATTTGATTTCTTAGCCCATTTCTTACTGCATGATTTGTGTTAATGGTGTTTATTTGGGAGGGGTAATACATTCTAAATTTAATCCCCTGCCTGGCAAACTTTTTTTTCGCCCCATTCTGTAGGCCGTGTCTTCTCTCTGGTGTTTGCTTTGCTGAGCAGGTTTTAACTTTATGTGATACAGTGTGCCTGTTCTTGGGGTTCCTCCACCCTTCTGGAGCACCTTCCATGATGTCACTGCCCATACCTGTAGCTTGAAGTGCTTTCCTCCTAATAGTTTGAGAGCATTATGTCCTATATTAAAGTCTTTGATCTATTTTTAATTCTTTTTCTTTTGAAAGGTGAGGTATGGATCTGGTTCTATATGAATGTCCAGTTTCCCAGCACTGTTTGTTGAAAGGGGCTGTCATTTCCCATTGTGTGTTTTCACACCTGTATGAGTTTCCCTCTCGGTCTTCTAGTCTGTTGGTCTATGTCTGTTGGGGTCCACTGTCATACTTTTATTAATATGGTTCTATAGTACAATTCACCGTGATACCCCCAGCATTGTACTTTCTATTAGGAGTGCTTTGAGGTCCTTAGTGCTTATGAATGATTTTTAGGAGTGTCTCATGTAGTGTAAAAAAAAATGCATTAGAATTATGATGAGATTGTGTTGAATCTGTAGATCACTTTTGCTAATACAGCTGCTGTCACGATGTTAATTCTGCCAATCCAATGTCTTCAGGTTTTCTTTATTGTCTGTAAGTATCATTAGAACAGTCTTTCATGAACTCTTGTTTAAGTTTATTCCTTGGTTAGTGGTGTGTTTTTGTTTTAAATAATTATAAGTGAGATTTTCTTCATTTCTTCCTTAGCAAACTTGGTTTTGGTATACAATATTCATCAGAAGACTCTTTAGTTTGAGTTCTTTAAATATAGGATAAATAATGTTCTTTAAATATAGGATCACGCTGTATACAGATGTGGATGATTTGACTTTTTTCTTTCCTATTTGTATGCCTTTTATTTCTTTCTCTTCATGCTCTAACACGCATGCTCTTTTACTTTTTTAAATGGTATTATGCATGTGAAACAGTGGAAGAAGGAAGAGAAAACTCGAGCACCACAACCTGTCTGCGAGTAGTTGGAGGACACATTAAGCGCTACAGCCTGTGTGCGAGTAGGTCTGAGGACACCTTGATTTTGAGCACTTTGAGTATAACGTTGACCATAGGTTTACGATCTAGAGACTTGAATTTCTTGATGTGGATGTCTTCTATTGCTAGTTTCTTACGAGTTTTAGTCATGAAGGGGTATTGACTTTTGTCTGTGATATTTTCTACATCTATTGAGATGATCTGGTGATTTCTGTCTGTAAGATTATTTATGTGGCGTATTACATTGATCTGTGCATATTGAGCCAGCCCTTTTTCTCTGATATGAAGCTACTTTATCTGTTAAATCCATTAACCAGTGTTATAGTTTAAAGTTTCCTTGTAGATTTTTAGTTTGAATGACCTGTCTAAAATCTCCCTATTGTACTCAAACTTTAGTGACTTTTTTTGTCTGTTAATATCCATATAAAATCATGAGCTACAGTGTTTGGTGCCTATTTATTTACAGTAGTTATAACTGCTATTCAATTGTTCCCTTTGTCAGTCTGAGAATCAAAGGATAGAAGTGAACCTACCAAGCACATGGAAACTGAACATAAGCTATTGTAGTTTTTTGGTAGCTGGTAACTTGAAATCCAGTTAAGATACAAGTAATAAAAGTCAGCATATAGTAATAAAGGGAACAATTGAACAGCAGAATCTCTGCAATTGTGGGCTGGGCAGACCTTCACCTCCTGTGACTCGTTAGATAGTATCCCCTGGTGTCACTAGAATTCTGCTTGGAGGGGGCTAGCAGGTGTGCTACACCGCACAGACCTGTACAGACAAAGCACCTTCTGTGCTATGTAGCCCACTTGACTGTTCCTCGCCCTCATGGAGGGATGCAACTGTGGCTGCCAAGAAGCCTCCTGGGCCTTCAAAGTTCTCAGGTCCTCCAGCAGGCTCTCTGGCATGTCGCTGTTCCCTAGTTTTAGCCCACCCCAGATAGCTAAGTTTTAAACAGTCAGTTCCCAGCCACTGCTCTCCTTAGGATTCCTCTCCAGCATTGACCGATCTGCCTGAGACATCAGTCTTCCCAAAACCTACCACTGAATTGGAGGCTCTTCCTGGCCTTGTCCCCAGGGTGGAGCTGCCTGTGTCTTCCCCAGCACTGACTTCCCTTTGGATGAGCCTCTGCTCCACCCCCACCCCCATTCCCATCAGAAAACAACCTAGCTGTTTGACTTAGCTCCATTTCTATTGGTGTATCCATCACCTTGAAATAGAATCCTTTTTATATGGCTGTTTCTTCACCAAGTCACTCTGAGGCTGCTGCCTTCCCTGAAAGCCCAAGGTTTCTGTTCTTTTAATTGAGGCAATTTGTTCTTTGGCAGTTTCTCACGTGTATGCATACTCTCACCAACCTGCCCAAATCTCTTTCTCAGCCTGTGAGCTTCCCTTCTCCCTACAAGTCCATTTTCCACATTCTTGTCTTGGTTTGGAAATCTGTTCTCCTAAATACTGAAAGAACATCTTTCATTCTGTTAAATCCAGAATGCTTATTTGAAAATCTTTTAAATTAGTAACCATGTAGATTTGAAAAAATGCTTTGGTTTATCTTTAACGGCATATAAAACAAAATACAGTAACACTGTGACCATAAACAGAAGGTAGTTAGGAATGTGAGCATGAAATTTGGGGGTAAATGAAGCATGTTCATGCTTTCATTGCATCTAAGATGCATATATTCATGTATCTGTGGGACAGTTAAAAGATAATAAAGACAATCCTGACATTCCATCTTTTATAGAAATGTTTAATGCCTCAACAATCATGGCTGGTTATTTTTCTACATTATTGGTTTGGAGCAATACATAGGTAACTATTCAGTTTTAAATATTCAGATCCATTTACACAAGATTTTTACTGGAAGAATCTAACAATTTTCTTTATAAATTTAATTTTATTTCCCAAATTCTGTTGCTCGTAAATTTTTGCAGCCATTATAGCTAAGTACTATATCATCTTTATTGTTTTTTCGTGCTCTAAAACTCCAAGATAAAATGTGGGTGATGGACTAGAAAGTAAGTAACTATCATTGCCAAGACTAATAGTGAGAGGCTGATGATCCATTATCTCTTGGAAACCGCGGCTTCAGGGTGGACTTGAGGGCACAGTTCCTGTAGTGGAGTTTGAGGAGGAAGCCTCTCCCTACACGAGCCAGCCAGATGAGATGTGGTGTGGGCTCGGCAACCTCAGCTTTCTAGCCATGTCACCCTAAAATATTTGAAAGTAAGATAACTTGCTTTTGATTTAAACATAGAAAGATTCTGAAAGATGAGTCTCTAGACTTAAAATCAGTAGTTGTGAACTGAAACTATTTCTTTACGAGGCACAATGTTTAGAGAGCTTCATCCAGCCGCAGGGCTCCTTGTCTTTAATGTACGTGATTTCTGAATTCCCATGACGGTTGTTACTTCTTTCAGCCTTTGACCTGTAGTCTGCTTTGTTGATTTCTCTGCCTGGGTCTGCATAAGTGATGATGTGTCAGTACAAGCACAGGAGTTTAAAGATGATGGGTTTAAACGGGCTTTGCTTCTCTCAGATTCTGTCAAGACTTGGGGAGTCTCTGAACTCCCGGCTTGCTTGGGAGTGTGTTTCGGGAGTAATGTCACAGCTCTGATGCGCAAAACATGGTTCTGTCATCCCTCACCAAAAAACTTTTTAGCCATTGTCTGACTTTGGGATACAGGAAATACACGATTTTGCATTGAAGGACTTTCTTTTCCTCACCATTATTGAAGAAGTTGTTGAGGAATTAAATAGAAACACCTGGAATCCAGGAGGTAGGCTGATGAGATGCAGCTTCCTCATCACCCATGAGGAAACAGGACCTGGAGGAGGGCTGACATTTTTATAAGGTCATGTAGGAAGTTCCTCTAGGGGTTGGCCCGCTGTGGCCCTGAGCTCCTCTCTGCCTGTATCCTGCTTCCGTAACCATTCCTCAGAAATTGAATGAATGGAATTTTTCCTTTCTGGCCACTGTTGTTTACAGCTGTCTTTGAGGAAATATGGTGACTGGTTTTTATACTAAGCTGGTCAGACTTAGGACAAGGACAGTGGCTGGTCAGACTCCAGGGACATCAAGGAAGGACAGTGGTAGTAATTGAAGGATACCCGTTCTTGATGGTGGATTTTAAATGGTGGCTCCTACATTAGAACTTAAGTAGGAAAAGCCTCAACACTGAAAGGTCAAATAATGCATTTCAATAGAATTTTCCCAACAAATTAGTGTACATCTACTCATATAAAAGATGTAGAGTGTTGGGAGTGTAGCTCAGTTGGTAGAGTCTTTTCCTAGCATGCCTAAGGCCATGGGTTCATCACCAGTACCACTTAGAGCAGGCTTGGTGGCACATGCTTGTCATCCCAGCACTCAGGTAGTAGATCAGAAAGCTCAAGGTGTCCCTCAGTTACATATGGCATTTGAGGCCAGCCTGGGCTAAAGATCCTGTCTTTAAAAAAAAGAAAAAGTTAGAGGAATTACATGCCTTTGTGCCTGATTTAAATGCCAATACAAATGTGTAAATGTAAGTAGGTTATATCTAAGTTTACAGCATAATCAAATTATGTGACTAAGGCTTTTTTGTGTCCATCATACAGTATGCCACATTATTACTTTAAACCATTATTGACTCCTCAGATATATGCCCATACTGATGACTTCCTAAAGATACCAAATTCAAAATCTCCTTCGGACAAGCCTGGTAGAGCCAGAATTAAAAGTTTAGAGGTTACAAGGACAGCATCAGAAACATTACCTGAAGCTGGTTATTGTAACATGGAAAATAGAGAACACTATAGTAATAATCATGTCTGGAGTTGTGAAGCTCATGAGCTTTCTCTAGAAAAGGTCTTTGACTGTTCTGGTGGTTACAGTTTTCCTAATTCTGGATGGAAAGTTAAGAAACAAAAGCAGTTTAAAAGTTAATTTACAACATTAGTGATTAGGGCCTTTTTACCATTATAGAGGCCCATATTTTTTTCATCATCTCTCACTTATTCATTAAATCAAGATAGTTGTTGTCTATACCCAGAGCTACTCTAAGAAAATCTTTGATCAGCATTTATACATCAGCTAGAATCCCAGTGAGTCTCTTACTGTTATACACACAGTTGAGATACCTCATTGATGATTTAGCAAAGTATATTGTGATTTTTGTCACTGTACAAGTAAACAGTGGTACAATATGAAAAAAATGATTTTAATGTATATTCCAGAAACATTAACCAGAAATAGAGAAGCACATTGTAAGCCATCATCTTTAAAGTACTATGAAACTGGGTCCCACAATGAAGGTTTTAAAAATTGTCTCTTCCAGAATACCAGGAAAAACCTACATGATAATAGCTTTTCTAACTGTGGGTACTATGGGCTTATCAAACACTTCCTTGGGCTACCTGAATTACCCCACCCAAGTCATCTTCAAGTGCTGCAAACTGATTCCTGTTATGCTAGGAGGAGTTTTTATTCAAGGTACAGTAATAATATGTTTTGTACTGTTTGAAGCGCGCAGCTGTGTTGTGGCATCTGGCATTAGGAAAAAAGTAAATGTCCACAACACTGTTTTTGAGCATTCTAGACATTGTGATAGTAAAGCATCTTATAAAAATAGGGTGTCATAAAAATATTGCTATTAAAAAAATATTGCTATTTCTCTAACATACTGTAGTATTTGAATTCATAATTTGGACATGAGAGAAAAGCCATTATTTTATTTTATTATTTTATCTTGGAACTTAATGCATCCCATAGTGCCATATTCACATAGTGAAGCCCATCTGAATGGGCCCACTTCTTCCCTGACTGAACTGGCTCTGATGGTTTAGAGCAGCTGAGTCGAGCTGGATGAAAAGAGGAGGCAGCTGGAACAGTAGGCATTGGAGCAAGTTGTTGCTTAGTCCCTGTCTTGAGGCTCTTCCCATTGTGAAGGGCTCAGGCAGCCTGCTCTCAGTGTGTGCATCAAGATGCCTTCCTGGGTTGACCTTTTACAATGAAAATGTGTCAGCACCTCACTCAGAACACAACAGAATAGTGGTTCATATGGAAATAAAAAACCTCAGTCTCTTAAAAATTCTTACTAGGCACATGTATTTCCTTAGAATCTTTGCCAAAAGTTAGAATACATTAGGCAGAGGAAAGGGGGTGAATTCTCCCCTGCCTAATTTTCTTCACATAGTGTTTATCAGCTGAAACGGTGTTTAGCATAGCCAGACCTCTTCCCTCTGTAAACTGACAAGCTGCAGGAACATCTGTAGCCTTGTAGTTATTACACATTAACTAAAGGACAAACTCGTCTCTCCACATAGTTAAAATTGGGTAGTATGCCTTTTACTTTTGTTACTTTTCACCAAACTGCAGCCACACACTGTGTAAGGAAGCTTTGGTCACCAGTAGACTGTGTATGCATTTGATCCCATGAGATAAGGTTGCCCAGTGACATAGCCATCTCAGTCTGTTTTCGTGTCTGATGACGTCAGACAACAAAATCCCCCTCGGGTGCATTTTTAAGGCATATCCTCACCATTAAGTGGTGAGTGTGTGTGGTTTTGTTTTATGTTTTGGTTTTTTTTTTTTTTTTTCTTCCTGTCAGATAAAATAAGATCTCGTTCTGTCTTACAAGATCATGGAGTGCCTGATTTAGTCTTAACTCACCTGGGATTGCTGTGCCTTGATGTGAGTGTTCTTTCTGTTTGGGCATTAGGCATGAACGGCACATCCCAGTTCTGTGTGGTGGGGCGCTGTGATCTGACAGTAGACTAGGTCAGTGTCTGTAGAATGAGCCCGGTGTCCTTTTGTCTTACACAGGAAAGCGTTACAACCTTGCAGATGTGTCTGCTGCAGTGTGCATGAGCCTTGGCCTGATCTGGTTTACCCTGGCTGACAGCACCATTGCGCCAAACTTTAATCTCACAGGTGAGGAGTATGTTTGTATTCCTAAATTGTATAAGCATTTCACTTCGAATAAGAATGTGTACGTTTTCGTGAGGACTTTAAATGATGCTGTGAGGTCGGTGAGTTTCCTACCTAAGCAGGCTTTCAGAGTTTCCCACCTGTAGTAAAAGTAGCAGTGCCCTAGGATGTGACACTGTTGTAGGGCCTGACAGGAGGCTCCCGGGTAAAGCCTTCACTGTCGGACACAGGAGAGTTGAGATGTGTATGCTGACCTGCACATACATGCAGGAGCTGTGGGGAAGTCACAGTGGAAATATGCATAGAGCTGTAACTCTGGCTTAGCATTTCCTCCATTGTGGGATATGCCTTTTGTCAATTAAATTTAGATTTTTTCAAAAGACAAGTAAGTATTAGAATATGTCCATGGCAAAGAATAAGCATTAGATTCATGTTTTTATTTTCATGACCATGCAGATGAATCAGAGGTTCTCAACCTGTGAGTCATGATCCCCTCGGAGGGTCTAATGACCCTTTGACAGAGATCACATAGCAGATATCCTGCATAGCAGATATTTACATTATGATTTACAGCAGCAAAATTACAGTTATGAAGTAGCAATGAAGATAATTTTATGGTTGGGGGCATTTACTATATACACACTATTTTCCTTAAGTTAATAAAAGAATTTTACCAAGAACACAGTGTCATCCCAACATTCCTCTTGACGAAAATAGCATTTAAATTTTCTAGATAAGAAAAACAAAAGGAAGAAAATGTGTAGGAGAACAGGGGAAAGGCAATATTGGAAAACCAGGAAGCACAAAGTATAAAATAATCATTTCTATAATGAAAATATGTGTTACATTAGCTTCACAATTGTTGTCAAGAACCAGCCCATCAGTCTAACTGGCCCCAGTTCACCAGCCTGAGCTAGTATGTTGAAATAGAACCATTGGGCCTCTGGGGCAGCCCTCTCACAGCCACAGTCCCGAGGGAACTTGCTGCCTCAGCTTCCATGGAAACCTCACTGCTTAACTTCACACAATGCTTATGGTCGCAGCTATTGCCTTTAGGATCAAGAATTATCAGGAAATCTTCATTTTTCCCATCATAGACTGTCATATCAAGTGTATACTTGAGAACAGACACCATCGACTCTTCTAGCTATAAAAACAAAAGTTTAGAAGGCACAGGTTTGCAGTGAATTTAAGTGGTGTAAAAATGAGGCCGAGGATGAGTGAATTGCAGACCCTTTACGCTCTCCCATAAGATGGCGAGAACACTGACTCATAGAGAGCTGGTGGGGGGAGAGATGGTAGAGGATGTGGGAACAACTTTCCGTGCTGTTTGAAGCTTGACTGTGCAAGACTTTGACCTAACCTGTGGTCAGGTTACCAATGCTCCCATGTGATTGACAGCTATGTATTATTTCATTTTACACACTCTATCCTCATCCTGTTTAAAATTAGCCCTTAAGAAATCAACCATGCTATGTTTTGGAGTCCCAGATACACAGTGTTTCCTGCTGCATATCGGATATTTGCATACGATTCATAACAGTAGCAAAATTACAGTTGCAAATAGGAATGAAATAATTTTATGGTTGAGAGTCACCACATGGAGAACTGTATTAAAGGGTTACAGCATCAAGAAGGTTGAGACAAGAAAGCCTGCAAGCCCCCACAAAAAAACAAAGATGGAACTGTGACACCCGTTCCTCTGCATGTGAAGCTCAGAGGCAGCCAGGCCTGTCCTCCTGCACACCTGCATGCTGCTTCCCAGGAGAAAATGCTATCACCTAGACTCGATTCCATTGAACCTGTCACTGCAGCGTGTGACAACTTAATATTGTCCACATTATCCCCATGGACATGAAAGGGAGGCTTGCTCGTGTGAAGAGTCCCCAAGACAGTTTGGCTGGCAAGCTAAGAAAGGCATTGCTCTAGGTGCCTCTGAGACAGTGTGGAACTAAAGGGTTGGGCATTCCATTGTTTCTCCAGATCCCGAGTCTTAGCTGCACTTTCAAGAGACACTGCCTGAAAAGTGTGGACTTTATTTGGCACGATGCTGAAGTAAGATTCTGGTGGTGGCATTAGTTTATTAGTGTCTGTCTTTTTTATATTAATATCATCACCTATGTGCTTACAAAACAAGTTATAAATCAGAATATTCAGCATTCCAGCCAAATGGGATTGACAGTCGGCTTTTGATTTGTAGCCCAGTTAAACTTCCTGGCCAACCTTGCTTGTAATTGATATGCTCAAAGAGGACCGTTGTCTTCTCCCTAAGGTGTGATGCTTATCTCCCTGGCACTGTGTGCAGATGCTGTCATCGGGAATGTCCAGGAGAAAGCCATGAAGCTGCACAATGCTTCCAACTCTGAGATGGTGAGCACCCCAGTGCTTCCCTCCTGTCTGGAAGGTGCATGGCTGATGTTGTTAGATGGCTTCAGTGTCAGAGACTCGATGTGCATTTCAGTCCACTGTATCCTTCCCGGAAACAATGCTAGCAATAGTGTGGAAGGTTGGAAGAGAGCCCAGCACTGCTAATAGCTTGTTGTATAACTGATCAATTTTTTTCTTGTTGATTTCTGTAATCTTTTATCTGTTAAAAGAAACCTCTTTGTGACATTGTTTTCCTTCTGTTTGTATTTCTCTTTGTGTTGCTCTCAGGGTGGAAATTTATAGTTCTTATTGGTCCAACTTCTCTTTTTATTGATGGCTTCTGGCTATGTGTCAGAAGGCCTTTCCAACTCAAGATTTTCACCCATGTTGCCTAGTAGTTTTATTATTTCCATTTTTTATTAAATAAATCCTGCTAAAACCCAGTTCTGTTTACTGAACACCCCACCCTTCCCACTGTGACTTCTGTATCTCACATCCTCACACGGGTCAGAATCGAATTCTCTAGAATTGATTTCCACCTCAGCCCACAGAGACTTGAACAGCTTCATGAATTTCTCATCGCTAGGACTCACCACCTTTGTTCCTTTTCGAAACAGCTACCAGCGGTTACTTGTGGGTGCTCATACCCTTACGTAAATCAGAAACCCCTCCTGGGATTGTGACTGACATTAGCATTGAATTATAAATTAGTTTAGGGGCATGGCTTCTGTATGCTTGATTCTTTCGGTCTAAGACTAAGGTATGGCTTTCCTTTTATTCAAGTATCTCTTTAAAATATTTTTGTTTTATTTTTAATTGTATAATATTAGTGTGTGTGTGTATGCATGCATGAGTAAGTGTAGATACCATCAGAGGTCAAGATTCCCCTGAAGCTGGAGTTACAGACAGTTGTGAGCAACTCATTTTGAGTGCTGAGGACCTAACTTTGCAATCCACCTTCTTAATTCCTGAGCTCTCTCCAGTCTCTCCAGGTGTTCCTTTTAAATGTCTAATAGATTTAAAAGTATTCTTCAGATTAAAAATCTTCTGCTTTTGTTTTTATATAGGAGTGTGTGTGTGTGTGTGTGTGTGTGTGTGAGAGAGAGAGAGAGAGAGACATTGCAAGCACACTTGCTTTGTTAGTCACATAGAACACACTGCATTGAAGACATACAGGAGTAAGTTTCCTATTACTGTCTGGGCACAGCATGGGGCATCTTAAGTGACTTCTCAGTAGCAGGAACCTGAATCTTGATAGGTGTTTGTGTCACTACTCTTCATGGCTGAGGTAAAGATGGCCTCAGAAGTGAGACCATGCAGGTCACCTGCAAACTCAGGGGAGCACATAGGGCAGCAGGCTTTAAACTGAAGCCTCAGTTGTATCCTAGGTTACTCCATAGCTCTCCTTTGGGCCAAATTACAACCTCAGGCTTCAGTTGAAAACTGGGTGATAAGCATGGGATTAAGATTAGGTTAGCTGTGAGAGTCAGGAGAGTAGCCCACATACAGGGTAGCATAGCTACCTGTAGCAAGCATTTCAGTTAGAAACTGGAGGTACCCTTGGGGGAGCTAATAAATGAGTAAAAAGTGAGTGGAGAAACTAGAGTGGTGATTTTCCTATCTTTTGAAAACTCCGGTGTCCAGGACATTTTTCGTGTCTTGTAAATAACTAAGGACTTTGTCATATTTATGTTTATAGAATAAAATTAAAGTCTGCTTAAATTTAACAATCCAGAAATGAGTAAAATGAGTAAAATGTGAACAGAAATGGAAGGTCATGGATTTTTGTTACATAATACTGTGTGTGTGTGTGTGTGTGTGTGTGTGTGTGCGCGCGCGCGCGTGCGTATATATATGTACATCTGTATTTGGTATTCATAGCTATTTCTAGAAACTTCAGCCATAGGGCAATGATAATATCACTTTTAAAATGTTTTGTTTTGTAGTATTGAGTAGATTAATTGTTCCGTGTGTTCAAACCCTTCAGTGTCCCCTCTGGTGTGACAGTCATTTCTGTGCTTTACTTCTGCCTCCCCCAGGTTCTGTATTCGTACTCGATCGGTTTTGTGTACATTCTGTTGGGATTGTCCTGCACGAGTGGACTAGGCCCTGCAGTGGCATTTTGTTCAAAGGTAAACACTAATCGCATTTTAAAAAGTAAACACTTTACACTTAATAATTTTCTCTGTACTATTTTTGCCTAGTTCAAAAACAATGCTATTGTTAATAAATAATTTGGTCACTCTTCAAATGCAACATTACAGATCAGAAATGAAAGATCTTAGAAATGATTGATATTTAATTTTTTTATCCATTCTCTACCCTGTAAGTTAATTTTTGAGAAGTTCATAATGTACAAATCAAGGGTTTTTCATTTCATCAATATTTTCCCATTAAATAAAAACTAAATATTGTTTGCTTGGCTGCATTGTGGAATGACTTATTACTGCTCAAGAGGCTGATTCAGATCTGTGGCTTGATACCATAGGATACCTCAGGGCTTGCTTTGTGTTTTCCTAACAGGTCATTTTTCTTCTTGCAGAACCCTGTTCGCACCTATGGCTACGCCTTCCTCTTTTCTCTCACTGGATACTTTGGGATCTCCTTCGTTCTGGCCCTGATTAAAATCTTTGGTGCTCTTCTTGCTGTAACAGGTAGGAGACTTGCTTGGATTAGGAAGTAAACACTACAGTTTCTCATGTGCTTACAAACACAAGGGTATGACTTCATGCTTAAAAGGAGTACTGTTCTCCAGCTTGTGCTATGGTTTTGTCTTTTAGTTCCAAAGAAAATGATGTTTGGTCTTAATTTCTCATTTCGAAGATTGCATTTTTTTTCTTTGTGCAGTGCTGAGGCCAGACCCTTGGCCCTCAGCATGCTGGGCACGCACTCTACCACTCGGCTGCACCCCAGCCCTGAAGGCTTCATTTTTATGTCAAATATATACATTTTCATGAAAAATGTTAAGCACATTAGAAAAATTTGCTGTAAAACTATGATGGAATGAAACCCCTTCAGGGAAAACACTACCTTCATATACTTTTAATTGATTACGGAAATTCCACTCTTCTTGCACTTAAAATATGGCAGGTGCATTTTATAGTTTGCAAGTCTTTCACTGGGATGTTTGTTAGCACCAGCCCCAGATCACGGTCTCGCTTCCGCAGTGATGACGTGTCCGTGCCTGACAGTAGAGAGGACTGCAGGTTGTGTTTGATGTGTTTGGGAAATGCACAGCAGTGAGGGAACCAATGACTGTGTACTGCATCGCTCTCCAGAGCTGCAAATGCGCATTCACCTCCACGGTATAGGCAGAAATATTTTCACTGTCAAATAAGAGGCGGAGATAGGCATAATTGTAGCTAACACAGAGTCCTTCCTGTGTACGAGTCACCGTTCCGGACAGAAGTCTCACCGCAGTCCATGCACTGATTTAAACATGAATGTGGAACAGTTAAGGGCTTGGGTGACAACTTGCTAGAATCAAGATACCAGGCAAAGCTGTCTGTCTTCACACCTGCATCTTCACTGCGCCTCCTTGGTTGGCATGGTGAGAGACTGGGTGGTCCTCAGCACCCTCCTACCATCGCATCCTCCTGTGTGCTGGGCAGCAGGATGGAGTCTGAGAAGATGAAAGCCATAGTGTCCTCTAGTGGAAGCTTCCTCAAGATGCTGTACTCCTCGAAACACATTGATCACTTTTTTTTTTTTTTTTGGCCATATCCTGAGACTTATGAGCACACCTAAGTGTAGGAGAGACAGAAACATATGCCCAACTGAGTGAATGACTCCCAAAGGCAGTCGTTGCAGATCAGCCCTGGCTTGTGCTGAACGTAAAGTGCAGGAGAATAGGGGTGGAATAAGAGAAGCTGCGTGAGGGTAGAGACCTGAGTGGAGACATGTGGCTGCCCCTCTGCCTGGGCTGAGTTACACTGAGGTCAAAGTGTGAAGACAAAGGTGCAAAGGGCAGCACTGTCAGAATTGCTGTCCCTTTCCCGGAGGTCACCTTGACTAAATACTGTGAACCATCATGAGGTGTGTGACTGTGCATTAAAGGCTGGAGCAGGATGAGCAAGACATGGCAAGACCTGTCGGAAAAACACAAAAACCTGACGTTAGTGAACCTCTCACTTTGTTAAAGGGTAGCCCTTGCTCCACCTAATCATGTCTTTATGGGAAAGCCTCTGGTTGTGGCTGCTGCACCCCGTGGAGCTGATGAATACTTACACGGGTGTACGTAGATGTTAATTGGATCAGTGCCGGTTCTCTATGAAGCCATTAGCAACAGAACTTGGTTGGCTGTTGGTTGGTCAGTTGCATTGTCTCTGGCACCTTAGAGGTTCTGCCATATCCAGAGCTATAAATATTTGTGGAATAAATAATTTACAAATATTGCCAAGATAGTAAGGGACATCTAAATCTTCTTCCCCCACAGTGACAACAGGAAGAAAAGCAATGACCATAGTCCTTTCGTTCATATTCTTTGCTAAACCGTTCACATTTCAGTAAGTACCTTTTAATTCAGCAAGTGTCTCAGATTTAGGTGTCGTCTCTCATGTTCTGTCTTAAACAGCATTACTTTCTAACTTTTGAATTGCCTAGCCAAAGCCCAGTTGTTGCAGTGTGACTGTGTGAGAAAGGAATCTAGGATGCAGACTGATTGTCAGTTAGGTGTGCCTGCCCATGTGAGTGACTGTTAGGAGTGTGTAAGCCAGTGTGAGGACTGAGAGCAGGTGTGTACTCCAGTGTGAGTGTCTGTTAGGAGTGTGTAAGCCAGTGTGAAGAATGAGGAAGTGTGTGCTCCAGTGTGAGTGACTGTTAGGAGTGTGTAAACCAGTGTGAAGAATAAGGAAGTGTGTGCTCCAGTGTGAGTGACTGTTAGGAGTGTGTAAGCCAGTGTGAGGACTGAGAGCAGGTGTGTGCTCCAGTGTGAGTGTGTGTTGGTGCATGTTTCTGATTTTGGTGAGTACAGTGGTGTGCATGTGTTAAGTAAAGGATTTTCTTTCTCACATACAAATATATAATTTATATGTTTAAAATTTTTTCTTGTGAAGCCTTTATTTATGGCTGCTTTGCACAACAATAAACAATGGAAAAGTATTCTGTAAATTGTATCCTAATGACTTAGTGTGTGGCTCTTTATGAAAGTGGCCAGCAGTCTTTGCTATCTCTGTTTAAAAGCAGTTTGTTAAAACATAGGTCAGTAATTGGGATTTCAAACCTAATTTACAAATACATAATTTTAAATAATATTGTAAATTTTTACCAGTGTACTACAGGTCATTTGTTGTCTATAGATTACTGTTCTTTATGCCTGTGATAGTATATTATAATAATTAAATTATAATGATCCAAGCTGGGTGGTGGTGGCACACACCTTTAATCCCAGCACTCGGGAGGGAGGCAGAGGAGGGGATGTTAGTTCGAGTCCGGCCTGGTCTACACAGAGAGTTCACGGCACCCAAGACTGTTACACAGAGAAACCTTGTCTTGAAATCCTCCCCGCCCCCCCACCCAAAAAAAGATGATTCTCTGCTTCCTGCAGAATGTGTCACTTTTTAAAATTGTCTGTGTTCTACTTCCCTGGGACAACTAGGCAGAGTGCTGGGTTGAATGTATAATGTAGCCTTTGATAAATAGGACTCTGGCATTTAAAGTATAATCTTAAGTCTTCTGGTAAGGTTATACTTTGAATGTGCTAATTAAAAACCCTCAAGTTTAAATTAGTCTCACTTTTTGTAACTTTTATGTATATATTCAGCATAAATTTTTTGATGCTTTATATATGTAAATAGTGTGTTTTGATCAACACCATCTTCTACCCCACCCCAGCCCCACTTCTGTCCCAACTTCATGTACCCTCTTTGTTAACCATTGAGTCTACTTGGTGCTGCTAGTATGTGCATGGGTCTAGGACCATCCATGGGAGCGCAGGCAACCTACCTGGAACTAGATCCTGAAGAAAACTGACACTCTCCCTCAGCATCCTTCAGTTATCAATGCCTTAGCCAGGGGTGGCACTTTTGACTGCTTATATTTTTTGTCAACTGGACACAATCTAGAGTCAGCTTACCAGAGGGAATTAAGTTGAGAAAATAGCTCCATCCAGTTAGCCTGTCTTTAAGCCTGTGGGGCATTTTCTTGACTGATGATTGATGTATGAGGGCTAACTCCCTGGGCAGTGCCATCCCCAGACAGATGGTCCTGGAGTGTGTGAGAGAGCAAACTGTGCCAACCAGGAGGAGCAAGCAGGTAAACAGTGTTCCTTGACAGTCTGCTACAGTCCTGCCTTGAGTGCTCCTGCCTTGGTTTCTCTCTGTGGACTGGTCTCAGGATGTGTAAGCCAAAGAAAACCATTCTTCCTCAATTTGCTTTGGTCATGGTCTTTACCATACATAGTCGTGGAAAGCAGACCAGAGCAGACTTTGTGAGCCACTCTCTGTTCCATTTAACACGTGATTCTAATACTATTTTAGACCTCTAATAGCAAGTTGTGTGTGTTTGGTTGGTTTTTTTGTTTTGTTTTGTTTTTTATTTGTTCATTTTGCTTTTTCTTGTTTTTGTTATGTTTTGTTTTTGAAGCAGGGTTTATCTGTGTAGCCCTGGCTGTCCTGGAACTCTTTAGAACAGACTGGCCTCAAACTGAGATCTGCCTGCCTCTACCTGCCAAATGCTGGGATTAAAGGCATGCACCACTACTGCCCAGCTAAGAGCAAGTTTTTATTTGATTGAAATTACTGTGGACTGACTACCACGTGTCATAATTAACAGTGAAGTGTTACCATGTTAATTTTAATATCTAATTTTTCATTTCTTTTAGGTATGTATGGTCTGGCTTGTTAGTTGTTCTTGGCATATTTCTCAATGTTTACAGCAAAAATATGGATAAAATAAGATTACCATCAGTGTACAATCTGATGAACAAAGCCATGGATGTGAAAAAGTCAAGGACGTTGGCACAGACTGTGTAGGCACTGAGGTAGCCTACTTAAAATAGAATCCTAAGGGAGCAATCATTAATCAGTTGACTTTCCAAGGGATTGGGATAAAAACCAAAGGATTTGAAGACTGCTGTTGTGTGAGCCGGCAGAGGTTTGTGACGTCAGCCTCTGCAGAACACAAGCTTGACCAGCTCTGAAACAGTCCAGAGCCGCACCCAGGACGTGTTTCAGTGAAGTCAGTATGAAGGAAAGCGCTTGCTGGCAGTGTCCTGCGCATTTCACTGGAAATGGACCGTGTTGCAAGACTGATTGGAAATCCTCCCAGCGTGCAGCACGGCGCTGTGTAGTAGCGCACTGTTTCGTCCCCATTCCGTTTTGGTGGTGTTATTTAAATTGCTTCTCTGTTATAAGAGTGAACCGATGATTTAAAGTCTAGAGAAAATAGAATTCATTTATAAATAAAATTATCCTGTGATTTTTTAATGCTGTTTTAATAAAATTTGTTATTGAAGAAAATGGAGTTGGGAAGGCTTAACATGCTCTTTAAAACTTGAGTTTTCCACTCACAATGTAAAAATATTTTTGAGAGCACCCTTGTCTGTATGCACAGGGTAAAATGCTTAAAGGAAATACACTAGAATTACAGGGTGCCATGATGTGTGGCTTTAGTTTGGATGTTTTAAGTGCAGGGCAGACGTTAACATGTTAAAAAAAATCCTATTCTTCATATAAGAATAAAGTTTTCTTTGAATGGTGGAGATGAAGTGGGGTGCACTTAAACCTGGGTAGATTTGGCAGACCCAGACATTTTTTTTCTCAGACTCTAATATAATTTCAGAGTCTGGATAACTTAGATCTCTGAGGTTTCTTTCTGGCAGTTCTAGATGCTATGAAGTCCACACTCAAGATGCTAGCAAACCTGCAGGGCTGCCTCCCACTTTCTAGATGGCGTCGTCTTACTGTGTCCTCAGGTGTTTAGCTCTAATCCCATCATGAGGTCTCTACCCTCATGGCTCAGTCTCCTAATGCCGACACTGGGGAGTTAGGATTTTACAGGTGAACATAGGCTACATAGAGATTCAGATCATAGCCGTATTACTCACGTAGTTTCGAGTCAGGTTTAGTGCCTTTCCGTATTGATTTTTGTAATTGCTGTATGCATCTGCTCACTGTGTGTGTGTGTGTGTATGCACACGCACATACTCACGTTCAAACAATTACATGCGTGTATAAAAGCTGTTACCCTTCATTTTCAGCATAATCAATATGATTAAAACCCTTAGTGTTTATGCTGTTGGTGACATCCTATTTTTTATGTGTATTCTTAAATTCTATCATATCCAAATGGATGCTTACCCTCTCTTTTGCTGTGGAAACAAAAACAGAACCTCTTTTTCCAAAGCAACATATCCTTAGACCCAAATTTTGAAGTTGGTTTAACTTAGCAGTCCCCGGAATCAAATGTCTCTCTGCAGTCAAAAAAACTCAAAGAAAACACAATAATATACACATTCCAGGCTCTCTGTTTATATTGCATCTTTATGCGACTTATTTGTCTTTAGTCCTTTAATCTGACTGTCTCTTTAAAGACTTTGCTTTATTTTTTAAAACTTTATTTTTTATAACTGTCTGTACTCTTTTCCTTCTCTCTCCCAAGCCTGTGCATATTTTTTGAACATACTATAACCCATTCAGAGATTTATTTCTGTCTGAATCTGTCTTTATTGCTTACCTGTAAGCATTTTATGACCAGGAGCACCTTTTTTTTTTTTTTTTTTTTTTTTTTTTTTTTTTTTTTTTTTTTTTTTTTTTTTTTTTTTTGTCAGGGTTTCCCTGTGGCTTTGGAGCCTGTCCTGGAGCTAGTTTTGTAGACCAGGCTGGTCTCGAACTCACAGAGATCCGCCTGCCTCTGCCTCCCGAGTGCTGGGATTAAAGGCGTGCGCAATGCTAAGCAGGTGTGGCTAGGACCAAGGCTGCCTGCCCAGTCCAACATGGTGGAGGAACGTTCCCCACCAGCTCTGCTCTGGGGATGTCGCGGGTTTGTATCACCATTGAGCAGCTAGCAGCACACTGCTCACACACCCCATTTAAGTGCAGAGCCTCCCAAAAGAGCGTTGTGCTGCCAACACTAACCAGGAAGCCTTCCCTTGAAGAAGCCCTGCAGTTTTTGCCACTAAAGCGGAGCCAGAAAACCCCTTAAAGGAGTTGTGCCTCTCCTTGCCGCCAGCAAACAGAACCTATCTGAAAATATGCTGCTACCAAGAAGCCTGTTCTTTTGTGTCCAGAATTCCTTCCCAAACTCTTAGGTTTTATGTGCATGTAGTTGCCACACATTGGTGCACCATTTGCTCAGACCCAAATAATCACACAGAAACTATGTTAATTACAACACTGTTTGACCTATTAGCTCAAATTTCCTATTAACTAACTCTTACATCTAAAATTATCCCATTTCTATTATTCTGTGTATCATCACAAGGCTGTGGCTCACAGGGTAAGATTCCGGCATCTGTCTCCTACAGCTGTATGGCATCTCTTTGACTCCACCTACTTTCTCTCTTTATCTCTTTTCTGATTTCCCGCCTGGCTGAAAGAGCTTTATTCATTCATCAATGGTAATAAAACATATTCACAGCATATAAAGCGGAATCCCACATCAGGGCAGTGGTCTAATGCTTTTAATTTCAGCAGTTTATTTTTCAGATTAAAGACACTTAGCCTTGCTTGCACCAGCCATCTCTCTTCCTGTGTTAATGCCATTTTTATATCTCTGGCATAACTCTTTTACTACATGATATCATTTGTTCACCTTTTTTTGGGAGGGGGGGTGGACAAAGATGAGCCAGGCATTGGTTCTGCTAGATTTTCAAGATGCAGGGTAAGGTAAGAACACCCCTACTCTGAAGAACCCCAGTCTTGCCAGTCTTGAGAAGAATTGGTATTATCATGGAAACTGGGTCGGTGTCTGTGCAGTAGGAACTTGTCTTTTTTGTTTGTTTTTGGTTTTCGAGACAGGATTTCTCTATGTAGCCCTGGCTGTCCTGGAACTTGCTTTGTAGACCAGCTGGCCTCAAATTCACAGATTCGCCTGCCTCTGCCTCCTGAGTGCTGGGATTAAAGATGTGCCACCACCCCTGGCTTAGTCTTAACTTTTAGTAATAAATGCATTGCCATCACTATGGGCATATCTCTAAGACTTAAATACGTATCTAAATTTGAGGAACTTGGTAGTTTTTTGTGTTTTGTTTTTACTCATTTGCCATCCTGAGGATTGACCAGGTTTTATGTGTGTTAGACAAGTGTTCTAACATTGAACTATATTACTACCCTTTTTTTTCTTTGTTTTTGTTATGTGTGGTATATATATGTGTGTGTACAAGTTTGTGTGTTTGTGCATATATTTCATATGCCTCCAAGGACTTGTCTTTTTACAAAGTTTCTAAAGACATTTAACAGTTTTCTTTCCACCACTGCCTCTTGGCAGATCTGTCTTCTGGTCCTGAGCTTTTGCCTGGTTCCCACCCTGATGCTCCTTGCTTATAGGGAGAGAGTTCTTTACTCCTCTATCAGCTGACTTTGTTCTATCTGTGCTGCCTGCTGTGCACCCATTTCCCAGTGCAGGTGCTCCCGACACCTTCGCTGCACCACCCATTCCCCGTGCAGGTGCTCCCGACACCTTCGCTGCACCACCCATTCCCCGTGCAGGTGCTCCCGACACCTTCGCTGCACCACCCATTCCCCGTGCAGGTGCTCCTGACACCCCTGCTCTGCACCCATTCCCCATACAGCTGCTCCCGACACCTTCGCTGCACCACCCATTCCCCATACAGCTGCTCCCGACACCTTCGCTGCACCACCCATTCCCCGTGCAGGTGCTCCCGACACCTTTGCTGCACACCATTCCCCGTGCAGGTACTTTCAATACCCCTGCTATGCACCCATCCCTCATGCAGGTGCTTCGGCAGAGGTTTCTCCAGAACCTCTCCGTAGTCTTGTGTTGGTTTGTCCTGGAATATACAGATGTGTTTGGCTCTGGATTCTACTAGCCTTTCCCCCACACTCCATTTTTTTCCCCATCTCCCTCTGTGCTGGTTGATCTTTGTCACCTGACACAAATTAGTGTTACCTGAATGAGGAAACATCAATTAGGGATTTGACTCCATCAGATTGGTGTGTGGGTATGGGGAGGTGGAGGAATATTCTTGATGAATGATATATGTTGTAGGCATGCCCAGCCCACAGTGATGCTGCCAGCCCTGAACAGGTGGTCCTGGGTTGTATAAAAAAAGCAAACTGAGCAAGCCATGGACAACAAACTGGGAGGCATCATTCCCCATGGGCTCTGCTTCAGTTCCTGCCTCCAGGTTCCTCCACTGCTTGAATCCCTTCCTTAGCTTCCCTAAGTGATGGACTGTGACCAGGACGTGTAAGCCAGGCGAATGCTTCCTACCTCAAGTCGCTCTTAGAATGTTATCCCAGCCACAGAAACGGAACTAAAACCCTTCCCACTCTGTGGCTCTCCCTCCTTGTCTTGTTTCCTTTCTCCTGTCCCCATTTCTCACCCTCCCTCTCTTCCTCTCCTTCTGTCCCTCTTGATGAATCTCCTCCACTCCTCACTCCCTCCCTCTCAGTTTCCCTAGGATGTTTCTGAGATTTAGAAATTCTCCTGAATCTTCCTCTCAAGGATTTACACTCGTGATTTTTCAGGTTTCCCATTCTGCTACATATAAATAAAAGAGCTTCTTGGCTGCTGTCTTGGCTCAATTTATTTCAGAGATGTTTCAGTTGCCAGTATAATTTGGTAGAATTTAAAGGTCAGCAGTATTTGTAATGTTTGTGATTTAAATAAGGATTTCAAAACTGAGAGAAAAATTAGGTGATAGAAATATAAGCCGTTCTCTCCTAACAAACAGAAGGTGATGTTCATATTATAGCTGATTAGAGACAGTTGTTTTAGTATAGACTCCCAATGGATAGAGTTTAGAAAATGTTTCTTCATCATAAAGCTCTGATAATTTCAGATGACATAAACCGATACACCTTGTCAGAGTCCCCCAAACCTGTTTTCATCTTGTGTAAATCATTGGAACAAAGTCTAGAGAAACAGGAAGCAGAAGAAATCACTTGTATTTTTCAGATCTTAGTACTGGGCCTCAGGCAGGAGGCGGAAGAGACCTGAGATACTCTAAGGAACTACATAGTAATCTTCCTTCTAAACCCCTCCTCTACAGCCTATGTGATTTTATCCAATGTGCCCCGCATAAGATACTCCAGCACCATCACAGGCTGCACCAATGCTGTCCATTTAGAAGACAAATCGGAAGCACCAGCCCTGTCATTCTTGGCTTTGCAATTTAAGTGTAAAATCTTGCCAGAGTGGCAATCCATTGAAACAAAACAGTCTTGGAAATGAAGCCCTAATTTCCCTTCAAATGGCCATTTCTGGTTCTTTCCTTTCTAATTACCATTGTAATGAAGTGGCCGGTATTATGGGAGGAAGTGATTTCAAAGGCAGCAGTCTCTTATTATGAATCATACTCTTGATTTTCTACCCTAATGGGAATCAGCCTTAGTTATAGAAAATGCACGTGCAAACCCCCTCTCCACTGAGACTGAAATGGTCCCAGAACTACAGATCCTTCTTTCACTAATTGTGGCTCAGAGAATGAGTAGGCTTCAGAGCATCGCCTGGTATCGAAGCTGGGGGAAGGCATCCTGATTCTCACCAAAACATTGTTTCCAATCCCTGGGGTCTGTTGCTCTCAACAACAGATTCTCAGCGCCTTAAAACACAGCTGTATTAATATCATTCTATGAAGCCTGTATTGATATTTTGTTTGTGCTTTAACAAATAAAGCTTGCCTGGAGATCAGAGTACAGAGTTAAGCCCCTAGAGGCCAGGGAGTGGTGGCACACACCTTGGGAGACAGAGGTGGCAAGGGATCTCTGTGAGTCCAAGGCCATCCTGGGCTGCCAGATTGACCTGTGTAAAAAAGAAACAGAGCTCACACAAAGGTGATCCCAGCACTTGGGATGCCATGTCTTTATTCCCAGCACTAGAGATGGAGACAGGAGTGATATGACTGGGTAGAGAGAGGAGTATAAAGTGGAAGGAGACAAGAGCTCCTTGCAGTCTGAAAAGACAGTCGGAGGACAGGATCGCCCCTTCGGTCTGAGCCGTGCTAGAGGCCAAAGGTCTCTAAATGGCTGGCTGCCCTGCTTCTCTGGTCCTTCAGCTTTCATTCCCTAACATCTGACTCCAGGCTTTATTTATTAAGATCCATTAGAC